TGTGTGTGTGTGTGTGTGTGTGTGTGTGTCTCTCTCTCTCTCTCTCTCTCTCTCTCTCTCTCTCTCTCTCTCATGTGTAGCCAGGGACAGAGTCCCACTTCACCAGATTCCTCATTTCTGGCCGTTGATCTGCAGAATCAACGGTCAGAAGTAGAGAAGTCCGGTAAGCGTCTGCTTTTCTATTTCTCCACAAATTTCTCAATTTATGCGTGTCATCCTTGCCCAGACCGAAGGACGTCTTCCACAAATTTCTCTGTATTCTTCCACAAATTTAAATTTCAAGCTTTCCCTCTTTTGCCCCAAACTGAGCGTACAATGTGCACCATGTGCAGTCATCAGCCGGTACCAGATTCTGGTCATTCGTCTTGCTTGTGGAACCTCGCCTCGGCTAGACTCACGTATAGTTCTTTTTTATTGGTTTTTTTGTTTTTCTCAGACTCACCGAATCAGCCATCCAGTCTTCCCCTGGGACGATCACTGGGTGCTGGTCGGTGGCAACCCGGCCCGTGGTCCCACTAGCGAAGGGGATAGGATAGAAATCCTAAATCTGGCTATGTTTTATGCAGAGATACAGAAAAGCAGTTCTATCTCTATTTCCTGTTCCTGTCCTCAAACACGTCCAGATTCAGGCATTCAATCCGATGCTCTTTTCTAATGGGACCACGGCCCCGGAAGGCTTCGCTTTGGATAAGGGCTCGGGGTACACAGCCCAGTCCCTTCGACCATGCCTGTTTCTACTGATCTGCGGGCCAAGTCCCTCTAGCAAGGTTGAGTTTCCTCAACGCCTGAATCTGGATGCGTCCATTGGCATGTGCCGTTGCGGAAACTCGACACGATTTCTGCACATCTCCACAAACACGTCCAGATTCGGGCGCTGAGGAAACTCAACGGTGCTACTGATACCACGCCGGGCGTGGGGGCGCAGCCAGGACGGCGGCGGACCGGCGAACGGGGGCCTCGGCCCACATGCCATCGAATAGTATAGTTTACTAGTCTGTGTGACAGTAGAAGGCGGGAAACCACAGTGAGGCGAGGCCCTTTGTGTGTTTCCTCAGAGGATTGTAAGCCTCATCCCACTGGCACTTACAGAAATGTATCCAGCCATTTTCAGGGCCGAATAGGTGTTCCCTTTTTTTTGTTTTCCTCACTCTTTCTGGAATCTGACGGCGGAATCCGTGATCAGAGGATTGTAACCGTGATCACAATGGCACTTAGAGGAATGTATCCAGCCATTTTCATAGCCCAATCGTTGTTTCCATTTTTTTTTTTGTTTTTCGATTCTGGAATCTGACAATCTGGTCACGAGGCTGACAATCTGACAATCTGGTCACAGAGGCACACTCACACTACCACTTCCAAGAATGTACACAACTGCAATCAGGACGTGAGTCAGACTCTCTCCTTTGTTTTTTTTTTTTTGTTTTGTGAGTTTCACGGCCGCAACTTTTCTTGTTCCTTTTTTTTTTTCTTTCCCTGTGAGAGTACCATAAAGAGAATGGAGTGGGGCCCAGGTTCGGCGCAGTGAAATTCAGGGTAGGAAAAAACAGTCTCCGAGGTACTGGTGGAAAAAAAACGAAAAAAAAAACACCCTTCGGGAGTGGCTGCAGTGCTCTCCACATGTGCAAGAGACAAAAAAAATGCCAATAGTGAGAGGATGAGATAGATGCGTACTACCAAGAAAACTGAGATAAAACTGGCTGATGCTGCCAGGATAACACCGGGTTGAATTGTGAGGTCCCCGGCCTCGGGGCTTCTTTTGGTGATATATAAACCATGTTGTTGCAAAAAAAAAAAAAAAAAAAAAAAAACTGAGA